TATTTAAGTTTTTAAGTAAAAGGCTTAAAGTTGAGTTCGAAGTGGTTCTCTAATTAAGGCACTGATCCGAAGAGTTTTGGTCGACTCGGTCTTGAACATCGGTATGTGGGTCATTTCTTCTATCGGAGCAGCTCACTCCCTGGTGTAGTTCATTGGTTGCTTGAGCTCGATGTCTTACGCAAACTTTGCCTTTCCTTTCAGGGAGGCCATATAGCATTTTCGTGATTTGAACTGGTTACCTCACACGATCCCTACACCGTACTGAGTTGGAAATTTCATCGCTAAGTAATAGGTGGACACTATTGCACGTAAGACGTGTGTGATAGGGTGACCTACTATCGCATTGTAAGGAAACGAAATCATGACCACTTGGAATGTGTGCTCAAACCGTGCAATGTTCGGCCACGTGCCTGCCTCCACAGGTATTATGACTCAACCAAGAGGCCTAACCTCTTTGCCGCAAAACCCTATCAAGGGTGTATCTGTTGGCTTTAGGTCGCTCTGTTGCAACTGCAATTTGTCGAAGGCCTCCTTGAAGAGTATGTCTGTTGAGTTGCCTGAGTCCACTAAGATTCGTCTCACCTTGAAGTCGTTGATTCTTAGCTTCGCTACCAAAGCATCATCATGCGGGTACTGGATCCCGCGTGCATCTTCTTCGATGAAATAGATAGGTTCATCGAATTGAGGTATCTTTGGAAGATTCTATTCCTCGTGTTTCAACTCACGGACCGAGGCCCTCCCGATTGCTGATGTACATCCTGCTATGATGGACCCTCCGGTGATCATATTGATCACTCTGTGAACTGGCCTCTCCTCTAGTAGCTACCAAGGTGGCTGCTCGTTCTGCCTGCTAGTCTTGGGGGCATTCCTCCATTGGTCCCCCTGATGATCCCCCTGTCAGTCTACCTACCCCCTCTCCTCTCGCATGATGTAATTCTTCAGGTACACGCGGCGGATAAGCTCTTCAATCTCGTTGCGAAGGTTCCTGCAATTTTCCATGTTGTGTCCATGATCTCGGTGGAAATGGCAATAGACATTCGAGTTTCTTTTTTCTGGGTCTCCCCTTAGCCTGAGCGGCCATTTAACAAATGAGGAGTCCTTGATGGCCATTAAGATCTCTCATCGCTTAGCATTCAGAGGGGTATAGTTCGTTCTCTCTATTGGTGGAGTCCTGGAATGCCGACCTGGCTTGTGGCCGCACGAGGGGGACTTGCTTCTTGACTTTCTTCTTCTCCTGCTCAGGGACTTACTTTTCTTTCTTTTTTGCCCATTGTTGCTCATCCCTTCATCCTCTTTCCTCTTTTCAGTTGGTGGATTATCAATCTTCTGGTTAATCTCCTCCTCGAAACCGATGAACAGGTCGGCCAACTTAAGGACGTCAGTGATATTTTTCAGTTTGTTGGCTACCACATGCAACTTGAACTTTTTGTGGGTGATCCCCTTCTTTGCTACAGTAAGACGTACTGCTGGATCGAGGTCCGGTATCTGTAGACAGGTGCCGTTGAAGTGCTTGATGTAGCTTCTGATCGATTCTCCCTCCTTCTGGACCACGTTCAAAAGGCTCTCCTGTGACCTCGGGCATTTCTTGCTGGTGATGAAGTGCGCAGTGAACAAGTTTGCGAATTGCGCTTAGCTCTTGATGGAGCCCGATGCGAGGTTTCTATACTAGGTACGGACTACTCCCTTGAATGTGGTGGAGAAGGCCACACACATGCAGGATTCGTCAGCCCCAGCTAGGTGCATCTGAGATTGAAAGGAATCCACGTGATCGTTGGGGTCGAACGACCCATCATACTTATCTAGAGGTGGGATCGTCTTTCGACATTGGGGCCGCTAGGAGCTCGGGGGACAGAGGGGATGATTGGCTAAGTAAGGGAGGTGCAGTCTTTGTCGCTATCGAGCTTACTTCTTCTCTTTCTTTAACTCATTCTACTTGTCGGCTGGGCTTTACTTGTGAGCTGTTTCTAGCTGAAGAGCGACGAACCTTGCGACGTTGCCACTATTGCTTCTTCACCGGGTCAGTGTTGGTGTTGTTGACCCTAGTTTGATCCGGTACCTCGACCCTAATTCTTTCGTGCTCCCAAACATTGTCGCAAGGTGGGTCTGGGTTCCTTCTTTCCAAGTTCTCTTGGTTGTGGAGTTTGCGCCGGCTACCATGGAGCACTGAAGGGGCTGGCCTCGAGCTTGGACCTCTGGCCCCGAGCTAGTTATTATCTCCCCGCGACCCATCGTTCTCCTGCTGGGAGTGTCGCGGCTGGTTAACCCTATCGAGTTGGCTGACCTCAGGCCTATTTCTCAGGTTTCCTTGTGTTTTCGTAGGAATGTGTTGACCGTCCCTCCTCCCACAAGGTGGAGTTTGGCCCCTGGGAAGCACTAGCACCTGCAATGTCCTCTCACCCTGATGGGGGATTGGTGGACGTTTTGGCTAGTTCTGGGCTGGTTCTAGTTCTGCCCCTGGTGCAACCCTGTGTGTCAAGGTGGAATCAACTGCTGGTTCAGCTGCAGCGATGGAAACTGTTGTTGATATTGCTGGTACAGATAGCACTGTTGAAATTGCTGGAACTACTAGACCTACTACTTCTAGATCTATATCGCCCGGACATACTGGACAAGGTCATGGAACTGGGATTACTCGACTCCATGGGGGATCATAGATGGCTCTGAGAAGGTCGTGTGCACCGGGGGGAGCGGGATGCTCACTTGTGGGGTGCCCTGTGGTATAGACAGTGATGGGACCCCTAAAGTTGTGAGGGGAATAGTAAACTGGCCGATACATACTGTGGGGCCTTGAGGAAATGTTGATTGCTGATCTTGCCCCCAGTGACATTCATTTCGATGCTTTTCTCAATGTTGCTGGAAGAGTCCATTGAAGTTGGGGTGGAGACTAAAGCTACAACTAAGATTGGGATGATCTTTCGATCGATTCCCACAGACAACGCCAATTGAAGGTGCGTGATTTAGAAGTTCCTAGTTGGAGAATTGTTGGAAGTACTCGCGTTGTGAGCTGGATCAGTATGCAAAACAGGGCTCAAAGAGACCGGGGTAGAAGACCTGGTGAGGTCGCTCCAATGCTTAAGTCAGTACTCTGTTGTATTTGCGAGCTAAGCATGAATTCTAGAGAACTTGAGTGCAAGTAATCGCGCATACCTTCACCTTGAGGATTGATGCCCTTATATAGTCGAGTAGACGTGAATCTTACGAAAAGGCTCTGGGATCTACGGGCTGCATAGATAAGATCCGTTCCGTTTTCAAAGGAAAGCAATGCGCCAGTTGATAAGGTTTATCACTTTCCTTCGATTCGGGCAGAGTGAAGATGAGCCATGTTATTAAACATCGTAATCCCGAGAGATTCGGAGTCCGTTAGGGAAGCTTCTGGAGTTAATTACGTGGCACTTTGGTTCCTTGGCCCCAAACTAAATAGGGTGCCGAGGTGCCTTTATGCCGAGATGATTTTATGCCGAGGTGCTCAAGTTCCCGAGCTACTGACAAGGCTCCCCTTGCTGGCTTATCATCCGATTGGCTGATCGCATCCACGTGCACCTCGGTCGCTAGGTCGGGTTAAATCACCCCTTATCAGTTACCATCAAGGCATCAACCGTTGATTGTTATTCTCTATTACAAACAAAAATAGTAACCTGGGAGTGATTTCAAAAGGGAGGTTTGCTGCAGTAATTGTACCCGAATTGATTCTAAATCCATGTAACCCCTGAAGAACATAAAAAGAAGAAGAAGAAAAAAATTAATAGTTGAATGTAAAATTGTTGAGAGTGATAAAGGGGCGGAGCCCATATTTGAGGTTTGTCGATCTTTTTCAGACTAATGAACTGGGTGTATCCAACTTGACGTGTAAAACCGAAATAATACAACAAAATAATTAATGGAAGGTTAAATGATATGTTGACAAAGAGAATGGGGCAGAGCCCTGTTTTGATCACTCGGGATTTCTTACTCCACTCTCTACCTGTTATGCATTGAAGTCACACATCTCTATTATGAATTGAGAGATGTGTGGCAGCAATTCATGGTGGGTAGAGAGTGGGGAGGAAAAGTGAATAGGCTTTTGATGTTTAAATAATTCCTTGGATATTGGGGAAATAAAAGAATATGGGCATGTATAGTGGGCGCAGGCTGGGTATGTACTATATAATTTAAAATGTATATAATTATAAGATATATAATATATGTATGTATTAATTATATTATTCATGAGCATCCTACTCTAGCTATTCATTAAGCAATATCCTGGGTTTAAGGAGAATTTTTATTGAACGCTTGGAGGGAGGAGTCTTTGGCCTTCTTAAATACACGTGAGCCTCTCTTTTCTGGTTGATGTTGTCTTGATTTGGGGTTAACCTTGACCATTTCATAATCTTTAACCCCACCATTTTATTGAAGTGGTCCCTGTCAGAGGTTAATGACCCTCCTTTCTGTGCCTATTGGTCTGATCGTTGGCGTTCTCTCTTTTCTTGCTTTTATGCTTCATGGATTGTAAACTTAGAATTTAGGGGGTGTTCTTTTTTCGGATTTTTTTTTTTGGGGGGGGAGGAATTGGGAAAGTTTATTTTTTTTCTTGTCGCTTATCTGGGTAAATGATACCCATCTCTTATGTGGATAAATAACTTTCTCACCTAAGAAGAAAATTGTCAGTACTTGAATGAGACAAAAAAAGCCCTTTTTAATAATGATTTTTATGACTAAAATAGTCATTACCTTATTCACATAAAAAACAAACGAATATGGGTAAATACACTTATTCGGGTAAATGTTTCCCAGGGAAAACTTACTTTATGTTTAATGAAGGTAAGAAGTCATTACCTTATTCCCAGGTAACTGCATTTACCTGAGTAAATAATTTATTGAAAAACGAACAGGCCTTAATTTATGTTTAATGAATTGCCTTCTTACAAATGATTTTGGTAGCAGATCCGGCCGGGCTCAATCTAGGCTCAATAACGTAGATTTTCTATCTAATCCACCGATAAACTCTTCTTTGGGCACAGGAACTTCCTCGCCCCTGTAATATATTCCTTCCCGGGAGAGAGATTCCAAGTTGGTTCAGCTATCCGAAAAAAGGGCGTTCAGCAACTTTCACGGTGCCTTTCGACAGGAAGATCCGAGGTTTGAATGTATGCGCTGTTTATGCCACCGCCAATGGAAACACATTGGATTTTGATTATGCTGCTTTCATAAGTATCAATGATAAAACCGCTCAACGTAGTTGGACCTACAGACAGCGTGTTATGCTTCCGGCAAACTATCGACGTCACATTTGGCTATGCCACATACCGCATAACAGCGATTGGATGCCTCCGATTCACAGTAAATCCCGAGTTCAACCCTCCACCTGCTTCCGAGGAGGGAATCGATACAAAGTCCTCGTAAGCACGTCGAACAGTTTCGTAGTGTTGAAGTGTGCGGTGCAACTAGTATTTGAGGGGAACAGCAATGCCGATAGACGTGGATTGTTATTAATCGATGATGTACCATGGGCTGAGAAGATAAGAGCCCATGATGATGTAGATGCGAGATGTCGTGGTAGCCCATCTGACAGGGGCGTGCCCACAAACAATGTCAAATGGGCCCCTTACATCGGCCCAATCACAATCAGGCAACGTGTCGCTTTACCATCAATGTTGCTCATGCATCCAGATCCTCCCTATGATGATCTAATAGAAGCTATAGACCACGAACAAGCCAACAATCAAAGTAAAAAGCAAACCAGTCACTGTTTTGAATTTATAACAGAAAGCAATTGTGCCCGTGTTTTATTGGGTATTATAACAAGATGCTGCGACCATACAGATCCGACCTCGCCAAGATGAGGTGGATTTGTGTGTGTTTGTGTGTTGTTTTAGCTAGATTCTGAATGAGTAGCTTATCAAAAAAAAAAAACTAGATTCTGAATGAGCAATTGTAGTAATTACTTTCTTACAAAGGTGATTACCCAGATACTAAAGCCGATTATTTCTTGGCCTCTTACTCTTATGTGGAATATCTTCACTTCGGGTAAGCATATCACTAAACAATAGAATTGTGGCACAAGACTGTGCCCTACAAGACTGTATGATGGTAGAGTTCAAATCAGCCCTACAACGTCCCACAACACATCCCCGCTGTGTATTGAGAACATCTCCAGATGATGACTAGACTGTGCCCCACAAGACTGTATGATGGTAGAGTTGAAATCAGCCCCACAACGTCCCACAGCACATCTCCGCCGTGTCTTGTGAGGGGTTGATTTGATCTCATGATCGTATGGAGTGGGATTTTGTACTTAAAATGATTGCAGCTTAGTTGTGAACTAATTTATAGGTGCATAGCCTATTCTTATAGGATCCCATGTTTCCCTTTATATCCACAAAGGGGATTGATACAAGGTTGTCCCCTCTCCTTACCTTTTCAATCTTAGTTTTGATGTTTTTTCTTGCTCCTACTTAAGAAAATGTCAGTGAGCTCTCTCAAAGGATAAAGGTTTGGTAGGGGAACCTATTCTCTTAACCACCTTTTTTCGCAGATGATATTTTGATATTTGGGTGGGCTTCTATCAATGAGCTTAATAAGATTAAGGAGTGGTTGGGTTCTTTCATTGGGTGGTCAGGTCAACTTGTGAATATCCAAAAACCTTCGATCTTCTTTAGTCCCAATGTCCATCATGGGGGTGAGGTTTACAAACAACCTTGATAAATACTTGGGTGCATATATATCTAGAGGATAAACTATTCTCTAAACAAAATTAGAAGCACACTGTTGGAAGGCTAAATATTATTATCACAGCCTCACAGGCAAGTAGGAAGTTGTAATCAAAAGTGTATTATTATCTCTCCAGCTCCCTCACTCAAATGATCATTCTTTCAAGATTAATTCACTTTGTCGTGACTGTTGGTGGGGTTCATTAGACAAAGAAAGATATTTGTAGTTGAAGAGTTGGGATTCAATCATGCAACACATGTGGGTGGCCTGGGTTTTCACGATATTAGTAGAGTCATATGATCATGAACTAGAGATTTCTAATAAGGAAGGATAACCTTTGGGTGCAAGTCTTATAAGCTAAATATCCTAAGCATGATACCTCCTTCTGGTCGATTAGTAGAGCTGCCATTTCTTCTTGGGTTTGGGCTTCTTTCTATATTGTTACTTTGTAGATCTTTAATCATGACCCAACTAAAGTGGGTTATTGGCAATTGGTTGGTAGGTGAGCATCCAAGATGATCCATTGATTGATGGGTGGAATAATCTAGTTGCTATTAGAGAATTGGTAATTCCATTTAATGGTAAGGTAGCTAATCTAATTGATGCCAATACTGGAAACTGGCCGGAATCACTCTTTGATTTTTGCCATGCTTCCTTGACATTTAGTTGATGCCATCCTTTGTACTCCATTACCTTCACATGACGCCTCTATGGAGAATACTTTGATTTGAACGCCTTCCTCTAATAGGATTTTTGTCTCGGCTTCCGCATTATGGGTTCTTCCTCAACACTCTCCTAGTTCATCTCGATTTGGCATTGCTTTTGGAAAGTAGACCTGGAACCAAATTTGGAAATTTAAACCCCTTACTAACAGGGGAATTCATTGATCATTTGTTTTCCATTGCCCACCAATACAAAGACTCTGGTTCCTTTCTCCATTAATCTTTAAAGTGGAATATCATTCTAACTGGCCAATGCTCGATTGGTTAACTTTTTGGAGTGAGATAGATGATCCTAGAAGGAAAGATAATGTTTCAAATTTTGCTAAATTCCCATTGGTCCTTTGACAAATTTGGAAAGGTCATTGTGGTTTGATCTTCAACAACAAACCTTTTGATATACTTGCCATAGCAAATATTCTACACTCATTATTTGTTGATCTTACTAGTGGTTCTAGCTCAAGAGTGGTGATCAAAGTAATATCTTGGATGGTGGATCATCTTCTTGTCCCCTCCATTGACTATGCCCACTCCCTCTTTATATTAAAAATAATTTTGATAGAGATACCTATGTTAGACAGTGAATGCTCTTAACTCCAATAGAATTGATATACAAACATTTATTAGTAAATGAATAAAGTATATTATTGCTTCATGTTCTTATTGGTGTATTTCTATGAATTATTCTTAAAGTAAACACTTATGAGACATGTGCTAATTAAAAATGTTCTCAGCCATTAGATAGACTTGGTGAATTTATCCTAACAAAACTAACAATGGTATGCTGCCAAACTAGGGGAACAACTTGTTTCAATTACTAGGGTTAGACCTCAAGCATAGCCAGTGGGTGTTTATAAGAAACACTAGATCCGGACCAATTTCCAATTATTGCTTTGGACTTTATGCTATGTTTGGTTTGAAGGAAAAAGTAGGAAAGGAAGGGAAAGACAGGAAAATCAATACAAGGTTTGTAAAAGGTTTCCTTACCTTTCCCTTCATTTCCCTATATTTTCTTTCAAACCAAGCATAGCCTTAGAGATAGATGGGCTAAACTAGAAAGTTGCACTTCTTAGAAGAGTACATCCTAAGGGTGTTCTATCGTCTAGGTCAATGTTAGGTTAAAAACCTCGACATAAAGTTTATAGGCTTTCCAACAATATGTAGGTTGAGGGGGTCGGGTTTAGTCTAATATTGTACACTACCCGTAACAAACGAGTCGTAGAATCCCAAAACCTAACTTTCTGCAAAACCCATCCTTCGAGCAAAAGGTGGGAAGGGGTGGATACCCACCGGGTAGGGTAGAAATTGCCACCTTAAGCCTGAGATGTTTAGCTAAGGCTGATTTGGGCTTGGGTTGGTAAACTCAGGCTTAACCTTGAGTTAGACTAAGCTTGAGATTGAGGTTTGAGACTTAGGATTGGATTGACCCTTAACCCAACCCAACCTACCAAAGTTGCACCCTAAGAAGGAGAATTGTGACATTCCTAATTGCATTAGTTTTTATTTTTCATTAAATTGTTTTTAACTTTTACTAATTTTTTATTTAGTATTATTTTTAATTACTATTTTTAAATGGATTAAAGGATTTTAAATTAATAATAATTAAGTGTAAACTATTAATTTTATTTTATTAACAAAATTGTAATATCATCATCAAATCATAAGATTTAATTTTGAAACTAAAATTTTCTTACTTTTTTTGTTTTATTAATAAAATGTATTCATTTGTATTTACTTTAATTTAGTATCACTTTTTGTTTATATGGAAGAAACTTAATTAATAATTTCCTACTTTAATTACTAAAAGTAAATGATTAAGCCGTACACAAAGTTATCTAATTACTACTTAATTAGTCTTATTAATTAACTTAATTAAGTTAAGCTAATGAAAATTTAAATTAACTGAAATTAATAGAAAATTATAGCAATTAACAGAAAATTTAATTTATTGTAGGAAATTAATAATAATTTACTATTGGTTCATTCTATAAGATTAAATAACAGGAAATTACTTTTAATATTCAATGACAAATGACCACGTCTTATAAGATCAAATTAATAGAAAATTACTGTTAATTAAATATAATTCACAAAATATAAATAAATTATGTTCCTCAATAAACTAATTCAGTTAATCAATAATTATTGATAATTTATATATGTAAGAATCACTAAATTTACCGTTAATTCAGAATAAATTATTGTTACTTTATTGACAATTAAATTTATTGTTAATTAAATTACTGATTGTTAATTATCAAGAGGTTAATATAAAATTAACAATCGTTTAATTCTAGTACCTTTTAACAATAAAAACAGAATACCCACTACCCAGATAAGATACCCGGCCCGTTGAGGCGTTCACCCAAATAAGATTAACTTCCTGACCCAACATGCTGCTACAGTGACCACTCGATAGAGTGATTACAGCAGCGTGTCAGGGTCATTAATGTTAAATAATGGAAATTATATGGATGTGGAAATCGGTCTAGGTCGAAATATCCAGAACCCGACCCAAATTATTAAATAATGTAAATTATTTAAATGCGAAAACGGGTCCAGATTGGGATATCCAGAACTCAACCCAAAATAACCTCCTTCTTCACCCGATTTTGCTACAATGGTCACTCCATGTAGCAATCACAATAGCGAAACAGGGGGCTAAGTTTGTTGTCTTTTCACAACCATTTATTCACACTAGAAATATCCAAACTAACCTTTTTTACCAAGTTTACGCTACAATGGTCATTTGATGCAACGACCATGGTAGCGAAATAGGGGGCTGACCATTATTCACGCTGGAGTGTCCCGTCAGCCATTATTCACGCTGAGAAACAATCAATAAACACATGCTTGGTGGGTTTTAAAGCTATAGTGGTAAGATCGATGCTCCCCTGTTTTGGGTTGTGCTTGGCTTTGATTAGGTTTTTCTAGTCGGGTTAAACCCCCATGAAAAATATAAGAAATTTGTTATATAGAAAAAAGTACAGAATTTAATATCTAAACTAATATATCAGATACAGATAGAATTGCATCTAACTGAAAAAAAAAATGGTGAAAAAAACAAAACGGACTGTGCAAAGAGAGCTGCAACTGCAACTGAAAGTTTGCTTCTTGGTAGAATGGTGAACGGTGAAGTTTGCAAAGAGAGACGATCCAAAAAATTTAAGGTGCTGTTCAACGGTAATGGAGAGTTTTCAATAGCATTATTGATTTGTATATGAAAGCGGGGTTGAGAGTTTTCCGTTAAGGCCGGGGAGAAAATAGAGGCCAATGCGACTTTAGTATAAAGAGATACAGATTTTCACCAAATATAGTTTATGAGATTTCAATATGGAATCAGCTCAAAATGTCATAAGCCACGTATAGAGAGTAAGGCTGCAACTTGGGCCGGGTTGGCTGAAATTCAACCCGAAAAAATTGGGTTGGGTTGGGTTGGGTTAGGTGGGATTGATGTTCGGATTAGGGTTAGGGTTGAAATTCATGAATCCAACTTTACTTTGAGTTAGGTTAGGGTTGGCCCCTTAGCCGATCCGAACCCCACTCTATAGTACATGTCATATATAAATATATCTTATATGTAATATATAACATACATTGATTTGTTGAGATGCATGATATTTGTATAGCTCCCACCACATAGTATCATATATTTCTTTTAAGACAATCACTTCTCTTAATCCTAACCAGAAAGACTAAAACCTTAATAACATGATTTTATGTATTTTGAAAATTTTATTCTTCATCTCCTCTATGTTGTTTGCCGCCCAAGAAAGATCTATCGTAAGTCATAACTCATAATAAATTATAATCATTTTTAACACTTGTTTTTTTTTTTTTTGAACTTTGTACTAAAAGAACAAAAAAATAACGTCAACAAATAAATATTAATGAAACATAGGATTAATATATGTAGTGAAAGTTGAGTTAAGATCTAAAATCGAGAAATTCTATGAGGTTTTAAAGGATGGATTGGGTTGGGTTAGGGTTGAAAGAATTCAGTTAGGGTTAGGGTTGGGGTTTAGAACTTAGGGTTGGTCTCAACCCGACTTAACCTGACTCAACTTGTAGTCCTATAGAGAGCCCTCCCAAACAAGTTCAAGTATGTTACCTAATGTAGGGATATTTGGCCGATTTGCATATATTGGCACGTGGCATTGGTTGGATGCATTTTGGTCGTCCATCATCAATTGCCTCCAATTACTTCTCTCTTAAGGCAATTCTGACTATAAAAAGGGGCTACGAGCCTCTCACATTGAAGTAAAGATATGCATGCACACAAGGCTTAAGCTTTCCCAAAGACCCATTTAATTTAAAAGCTTAAATTGTTAGGTGAGGTCCTTGAATAAATTGATATTCTCTAACACGCCCCCTCACATAAAAACCTATTGGGCTCAATCATAGGCCCACCCATACCTTGTGCTAAAAGCCTAAAACTTAATTAATTATAGGGGGGATAATGAATATCACTAGACTATTTGGCCAAATGTCTCTCATAACATCTCAAAGAACCATTTAACCTAAAAGTTTAAACTATTAGTTGAGGTCTTTGAATATGTTAATATTTTCTAACAAGTTTTAGCTTTCCTTTCTTGCTCGGTCCGACCCCTTATACCACTCGACTAATTTGATTGTCTGAGTTTTCGTCCCCGGAATAACTCCTGGAGTAGTCTTCTTTCTCTCAACAGGTTGAACCGTCGACCTTGAACACCTGAGATTACACCAGATTTGGCAGCAACACTACCAATACTTTCCCAACAATTCATTACAAATCGCACATTGAGAACATCTCTCTATGTTGGTAGCGGATCCCTACCCCCTCCTAAAAAAAGGAAACATGTGTCCCCTTCGATGGTCCTTCTTTTGTAGTCGGGCCGAGTTGGCTCTGTTTATGTTCGGGTTGATCTAAAACCGTGCGGAAGCCGACCCGTTTACCTTCGTCTCGTCCTGCAACATCGGTTCATAATCCCTAGATATAAAAGAGATAAAATTTGCAACATAGGGTTTCTCCTATTAGGGTTTTCTTGCTTCTTCCAGGCTTTCGCGGTTGAGCCCTGAACCTGAATCGAAAATGGTAATTCTCTCAATCCCTGTAACTCTCTCCTTCAATTTGTGATTTTTTTAGTTCGATTCGTTGATTGTTCGAAACTTTATTTCGATTTGCAGCCGTCGCACAAAACGTTCAGAATCAAGAAGAAGCTCGCCAAGAAGATGAGGCAGAACAGGCCCATCCCTCACTGGATCCGTATGAGGACCGACAACACCATCAGGTCCCCATCATTTGTTCTTCTCATCTCATTTCGTCTCATCACTTTTTCTTGCCTCTGTTCAATAATCTAAGTAATGGGTACTTATTATTTCCTAATTCTTACATTTCTTACACTAACTTCTGATTTTCGTGTTTTCAGGTACAATGCCAAGCGCAGGCACTGGCGCCGCACGAAACTAGGGTTTTGAGGTGGATTATATTTCTATATTTTCCTTTTTGCCCTCTTTTTGAGTCGATTTAGGATTTTAGTTATTGCAAGACATGAATGAATAGCACTCTTTCTGTATTTTGCACATTAATTAGCTGGGAACTCCTGTAAGCCCACTTCACAGGCATTTCGATGAGATTAATTAATATTTGAATGACAAGTTAGATTTCATTTTTTATATTCACTCGATGTGATGCTAGGGTTTAATTCACTTCATCTCTATTTTTTTATTGGTTTCTGCTATTCTTATGAGCTACTTTCTGTGGGAGAGTTTGAGCTTAGAAGCTTTGATTTCAATACTTTCTTCGCTTCAGTGCTCCAGTTGTGAACTTCGATGCATGTTTTTAGTTCACAACGAAAGTACAACCCTTGTCTGTGGTTTGAATTCAATTTATTCATTCAAATGTTGGATTTCTACAAATATTTTTCGTAATAGCATCATCCTGAGGATCCTATTTTCTCATTATACATACTAACTCAGCCTTAATTCTGTCTTTTTGGGGTCGGTTACATCAAATTCTGTCTATGTTTATGGTTTGTTTAGAAGTCTCCAGAGATTTTGCTAGGCACCTGCATCTTCTTTATGGGTTTGCACGACATTTGTTCTCATTGAAACATTTAACAATCATCTTCTAAGCTGTCCAGGAAACCATCCCTTATTACAAGATGATTGACTTTTATGTATGGCAAACAATTACCATCTGTTTGCTTGTAAAATAATTTGTCACCTGTTTGGTGTCCTTAGAATGAATAGACCACAAAGTAAAACTTGCGGAGGTGATATTTGGGTTTGTTTTACATTGTCAGTTCTATATTCCATGGTTCTTTCAGTGTTATATTAACTGCGAAGAATCATTATTCTCCATAGCATTAGGTGCCATAGATGAGGCAAGTTCCAACTTCCAACCTGGTAGCACATGTCATGTAGCTCAGGCTATGATCAAACAAGTTGGCTTAAATTATTTGGTCTTTCATAACTAAATATACATGGTTGGCTATGGGGTTGTTGTGGATTTCTGTTTCTAGCATATTTATTGGGGACATTATAGTTATGTTTGGTACCATTGCTGTTATCCGAGTCTGGATATAAGTTGAAGCAGACACGAGTGTGGATGCTGTTTGTAGAAACATCAAATCATTTCATTCTGACTCTTATGTGATGTGACAACGCATCTCTTCCCAATTTATATATATCAACTCAAAATAAAAACAGCAATTGTATCAAACACAATATATGTTTTCCCTAATGCTGTGTTTGGTTTGAAAAGGAAGAGAAATCTGTACGAGGTTTGTATGGGTTTCTCCACCTTCACCTTTTCCTATATTTTCTTTCAAACCAAACACGGCCTAAAGGGGCCATTGTTCCATGATGCCTTAGGCTCGAATCCAGTTGCCTTTTCAAGACCTGGGAATGTATGGCCCTCATGGGGGTGGTTTTGGTTTTTTATAATTTAGTTTTCCATCAAATGATGCTTAATTAAGTACTTTTCTTTTTATTTTGTTTATGCCCTCATCACTGATCCTCCTGCTTATTCATCGGCCATATGGCCCAAATCCTTGAATGACATAAAATTATTATGATTTAATAATATTTCCTTTTAATTTCTGAATTGAAAAAAGAGATTAGGAAACATAGTATTTGTTTGTAATTTAGGACATTTTTTGCATTTTGTTCTCAATGTTTTTTGTTTATTTATTTTCGTATGGGTGGACCCGTGGTTGTTTCGCATCTTCATTTTGTAAATGTTGTCAATCTGTAAAATATTGGGGGCTCATTGTAGAATTGAACAACATAGGGGAAGTACATGAAATTGCTACAAGTTTATAACATGGGGGCTTTAACAAAACGTTTTGGATTGCATTCTTCTTTTGAATTTTTTACATGTCAGGTTACGAGTTTTGGATGCATTATACATCAATGACCTTCAGAAAATCACAAAATTCCAAATCGTGTGGTTGAAACTTGAAAGTACTCCATCTATGTGATTTGTGTGGGCCATAGATCGGGCATAGGTTGTCCAACAACTTAACAATTCAAACGCACAGGGTGTTGCCTCCCTTTGTCAACAAATTATGAAGCCAAGTATTTTGAATAAGATGACTGCAGCCCGGTCCTAGAAGCTTTGAGAAGTGGACCAGGTCTAGACTGTCTAGTTACGGCTGCGAATGTATTCCATCAAATGGGAAATACAGTTTCATTTTAATATTTTGATTCAAACCGAATCTTATGTTACCGGGCTTATAGCAGATTGAAGTTAAATTCAGATTATAATAAGATAACTGTATGCCATAAGAACTAAAATTGACTTTTAAAATTGTATACACTGAACAAAGTGAAAAAACAAATCAATTGTATGAAACTTGAAAGATTTTCACTCCAATTGTATGAAACTTGAAATTTTTTCACTCTACCGAAAAAAATCAATTGTATGAAGTTTATATATACCGGGCTTATATCAGAGTGCAGCCCTGCGTGGCTGTATCACTGTATAGTGTATACGAATCGGTGCATTACTTCCTTCAGACTAGGGGTATCAATGGATCGATTTTGGGTTGGAATCCATCCAAATCAATATCAATTTGGACAGATTAGATGGACCAAAATCGGTGCATTATGCCCTTCAGACTAGGGGTGTCAATGGATTGATCTGGTCTCATTGATAGAAGATAAGAGTATCGGTGTAATGGACCAGGTTTGAGTTTGAATTAATCTAAATTAAAACAAATTTGAACAAATTGAATGGTCCAAACTAGGGCTATTCATGGGTCGGGTCGGGTTGGTTTACTGGCGTTTTTCCAACCGACCCGACTTGGTTGGTTTACCTAGAAATCAAACCGAAACCGATCCAGCATTAAGTAAAACCGACCTGATCGGTTTGAATCGGTTTGGGTCGGTTTTGTGAATGATTCTCTCGGTGTGAATGGTAAAGGAATCAAGTCTAAGAAAACAATGGAAGCCTGGAAATTAAAAATGATTTGATGGATTAAAACTAATATTTTATATATCTGAAATTTTATATATAATATATATAAGTCAGCTTGGGTCGGTTTGGTTTCGGTTTTCACACATGAAAACCAAAACCGAATCGAACCATTGGTTTATGTTTTTTTGTAACCCGAAACCGACCGGTGCTGAAGAAAAACCGGCCAATTCGGGTTGGTTGATTTGGGTATTGTTATGAACAGCCCTAGTCTAAACATTGAATTGAACCGGTCTAAAACAGTCCAAAATATTCATTAGATTGAATTCGACCTGGTCCATTTGTAATGGATTCACATTGGATTGGACCAAATCGAGTCCAATTGGCACCCCTACTTCAGACTGTCAACTAGCATTGTATCGGCCATATTGATATTGTATTCAACAGGTAAATCTATGATCCCGGAAAAATATGATATAGAAAGAGTTTTGACCAATCAAAACCCACCCATAAATTTTGATAAATAACACCTTATTTGCTATGACGTTTATGATTCCATATTCCACTTCCCCGTCCCCGAATCCAATCAGGGATTCAGAGATTGCCCCATCCTCGACCCCGACCCCACCAAAGTGCCCCCCATACCCGACCTCGTTGGATCGGGGATCCCGAGTACCCATCGGGGACAGGGAAAATTGACACCCTTAGGATAGAGCTGCCCATATACAAAATGAGATTATTGGAAAGAGAACAAAGAATAGCGAAGAGACACTCCGAATCTACTACCCACAAATAGTATACCCACATCGCTACCCACCAATCATCACCACCGTGTATTGAAAGTTTCTTACTATAAATAATAATATAGATATTCTCAATGCGCAGCTGTAATGTCTTATGGGTAGAAATGTGGAAACAGCTTATGGTTTGCAGATCTGAGCCCAAATTTATGTGGTTCGGCATATTGAGCTTATGTTTTTGAATCTCTATGAAAATTTCACTACTTTAATTAATTATATTTTCAGCCTAAGGCTTTTATGATATACATGGGGTCCTAATGTTCAAACACCCCTAACTCACTATATTTGGTGTTTCTGTGACTCAAAAAACTGATATATATTATATGATAGGCATTTATACACTTCAATATTATATGATAGGTTCATAATTGTTAATGTCCTGATCCATGTTCAATTGATTAAGGTTGTATTTGGTACCATTGTCATTTCTACTTGTAACATTTTAGGTTAGTCAATATAAATTAATTTTTAAAAAATTGTCTTATTACATCACACCAAATAACCACTTCCACTAAGAAAATATACCATTGGATTGGGCGTTGGTATTAGTAAATTTGAGGTTTGGTGAAGAAACACATAACACCACCAAATATTGTATTGATAACTCAAATCATTTGTAATAGGAAAAAAATATATATATTTTCATAAAATTTGTATTGACCAACCTATAAAGTTGCAAGTAAAAGTGGCAATTACACAACCTAAAATAGCCCACTTTGTATTGACCAACCTCGAATCTCCCCAACGGCCCAAATTAGGTCTTGAAGGGTGACTTGTCTCCAATCCACTCGCTCTGCTTCAACAAAACCCCATTTACTGATATTGCATCACCATCATCCTTAATAATTCCAGAAAATCTTCATGAAGGGTATTTTTGGTGGTAGGAGACTTTGTTATTAATCTAATATGTAAAATGGATTGACCAGACTGTAAAACGAGTTTTTGTCGTCAAAAGAATTGCCCTGATTTGTTAGTTTTGTGTACGTAGTTCATTGAATCTTTATTGTTAGTACGGGTGCTAAAGGTTCGGTTAGGGCATTTTTTGAAATCAATCTGATACTATCGATTTTTGCAAATTAAATCCCTGAACTGTATAAATCTATTGATCGGTTTGGTTTTTCTGATTTTTCAAATTTTTATATTTATAATATATATTATAAATAAACATAAATAAATAAATATATATATATATATATATATATATATATTCTATCATATTCTATTATTATTATAAAGAAAATTATAAATTTTGAACAGGTAATTAGCAATAAGCTCCATTACAAGTGGGTGTGTAGCACTGACATGGACCCATAAAAGTGGATATGTGGCAAAACCAAAACAGAACTCTTCATTGTTAAAAAACTATCATATCATTTTGTCAAACGAGGCTCAAATAAATATTAGGCTCAGTTTGAAAAGAGTACAAATACAAATATGTACAGATCAAATGTATACAAAATAAT